GGTATCCAGGTGAAGTGTGAATATGGGCTAATATTTGTGGCCGCTTTTCAACAAACCGGTGCCGAAAGTTGGTTGACTTGTACGATTCCTTCTACTCGGTTTTTCGTTGAATGTTAAAATTCGAACTGTCGGGATTTGATACAATAACAAAATATCGTATTTGATATTTTAATGAACACGAGTGTCCACAAAAATATTTTAGTCGACGAGATTCCACTAAAATATCAAATACACTATTTTGTTATTGTATCGAATCCCGACACTCTGAATTTTAACATTCAACGACAAAACGAGTAGAAGGATTCCTACAAATGGTGACCCCGACGTGATTGGCTTATAAATATTATATTTGATATTTTAGTGGACACGATAGACTTTTCCTCAAGTTGGTTGTCACTTACACAATCCTGAACAAATGATCAGGTATTAAATCTTGTTAGGGAATCGCTTAATACGAACAACGGATGGTGGGAAGTTTTCGACAAACTTTTCACCATCCGCTCCTCTCTTAAATACAGAAAATTCTAGATATGTCGTTTATTTCACATCGCCACGCACACGCCAGAGCGTTTGCACACACACCTGTAAACAATCGTGTGTGCGCACACACGTTCACTCATCCACACACAAACACACTCATATACACTCACTCACACACAGACTCTCTTATATACACTTTCTTCATTCATTCATAGTAACACTCACAGACATGAACTCACTACACTCACTTACACTTACATTCTAATGTCAACGCACTATTTCACACATTCATTTACACACGTACACATATACTCACTCAATCATTAATTCATTCACTCACACATGCTTACGCTCTCACATTCACACACTTGTTTTTACTCATACGCAAATGAAATCACTCAAATCCGCAAGCATATAGACTTTCTCTCTCACACATTCACACGTTCACACACAAATATAGAGGCGCACATAAAAACACACACATACTGACACACCTACACTCAACCGCATACACAAAGACATATATACTCACCTGCACACACAAACATACTCACACGCATACACTCGCCAACACGCAATCATATACGCACACAAACATACAAAAACGCATACAGCCACCCACGCTTTCACGCATACAGACACATTCTTCCGCACGCATGCACCCCCCCACACACACACATTTACGCACAAACATACACTCACCCGCATACCTAAAAACACACAAGCACTCATACAAGCACCTGCAAAGACGAATGCACATACACAAACATGCAGGCACGCATACACTCACCGTCCACACAAAGACGCACGTAGTGACGCACAGACACTCGTCCGAATAGACAAAAACAAACATACAGACACACTCACTTTGCACACATACATACACACACAAACATACAAGCACAGATACGCTCGCTAGCACACGCAAACGCACAGACACATTTACACACACCCGCGCGCACACACACGAACACACACGCACACATTCACACACATACACACAAACGCATACAGACGCAAAAGACAGATACGCACACAAATACAAACAAGGCAAAGAAATAAAAGCAGGAGGCGACTCTTTGATTTTGACAAAGAAGAAATATGATCTACCTTTTACGGATCCTTTTTGAAATAAATCAGAATTTCCTGTTCTAGATCCACCCAGCCACCCCAGAATGACTTCTCAAAACAGATATATGTAGAATCAATCAATCTGTAGATAAAATAATAATAATAATAATAATAATAATAATAATAATAATAATAATAATAATAAAAACATTGTTGATATATCATATAAGCAACAAAATCTACAGTAAAGTACTTTAAAAAAACATTCACACTTGCGCAGGTATTTTCAGTTCTTACCCAAAAGAAACAAAAGCAGTAATTCTTCTATGTACCGTGTCCCTTCAAAACGTAGATGATCATGACTCTCCACAACTTCCGATCCTTTGTAGCTCTTAGCAGTGTTTATGATTCTTTTTATTATCGTTCCCCATACGCAATCTCGTTACTTGCTGTTTTCCTCTGTTGCACTTGACTTTAAAATTTCCTGAGAATGTCAGTTTTCGAGAGCTTTCTTTTCTCATTATGTCTCTGAGAAATTTCAGTTCTTTTTCTGATACTAAGTATAAGAGTCCGTTTATTTTATTTTTCTTTTCCTTAAACGTTCTTCCTTATTCACATGCTCCGTCAATAACATTCTGCGTAACCTTCTAGAGAACAACATCTCTGTTGCCTCAAATCTTCTCTTCATCTGTGAGGAAATTGCCCAGCAACTACTGACATTATATAGCGGGTAAGCACGCTTTACTTTTGAGTGTGCCTAATGAAAATTTCCTGTTTCTTAATACCCTGCTTAGCTTTTGGAAGGTACTTGTTATTACAGAAATATTCCAGGCGGAAATTAGGCAGTTTGCCATTAAAAAAAACGGCTGCATTTAAAAAAAATGTTTCAATCATTTTCTTACTTCGATAATATCTTTCCTAACAATATTTCCTGACAAAAAGATAGTCGTAACATAACTTTCTTTCCCATATATATATATATATATATATATATATATATATATATATATATATATATATGCATGTTTTATTAAAAACGACAGACAAGGTACTACGGTTGAGCTTTTTATGTAATTTTTCTTGTGTTCTGACAAGAGCTTTCTTTTCTGGACAAAGGGTGTGTAAGAACTGTCCGAATGTTCTATATTTCCGAGCGCTTTCGGCTATACCTTTAGCCATTATCAAGGATGATTCGATTATCAGCTTAGTAGAGTGTGTGTGTTCTGTGTATGTTCAGTGTGTGGTAGTGTGGCAGATTTACCCGACACTATTAGGAACATACTAATAGAAAACACAAATATATTAACTGCATCCACCTGCAAAAAAGACTAAAAATAATGGAAGCTTTAATAATAAAAACGAAAAAGCCAACTCTTAACAATATTAACTACGAACAAAGCCACAATGTGCTAACCGTATTCGGAAATTAAAAACATCACTACGCAAACGTTTTTGGTTGTAATGTGGGCTTATTTAGAAAAAAATATTATTCTTTGTTTTACATCAAAGCATAATATTTTTTATATATATCTGCAGGCCTTTGAGATTGCGTCTAGCATGAAACAGCCTGTCGCCTCTGAGTGTTGACTTCAGTGTTCACTTTTTTTATTTATATTTACATACGCTCTATCTCTGATATTGAACACTTCATCTCGTAAATATAGCACGCCTTAAACCTATATTTCTTCATTTATATATATATATATATATATATATATATATATATATATATATATATATATATATATAATCTTTATATTTAGAAGATTTTTCAAAAATGATAAACGTCTAAAAAATATTTTAAAATTTAACAAACATAGTTTGTCTATAATCTTTAATAAAATTGTCTAGAGTAACACCTTAGATGCAGGTTAACGGTTATCAGCGCGTGTCGAGTTCAAATAGCAGCTGAGGCAGTTTTCACGTATATATACTTCACCCTAAGTCTAAGAGAAGAAAAATTCTAAATTCAATAAATGCCAGACAAGAATCGGTGACCTCTGAGTCTAACCGGTCATAGAAACACTACCGTTTCTAGGGCTGCAGTACATGTAGTGATTTAAGTTGGAGACGTGATGTGAAATGAACAATAAATATATATATATATATATATATATATATATATATATATATATATATATGATATGCACACTACGTTCTTTAAAATTAGTTCTATTTATTAGAAAAGAGTGCACAATATCGAGGATAAATTTATATGTACTTTCTCTTTAAGTGATTATCAGTTTGTTTGAACCGCTTTTAACTATCAAAATATTACTGAAGTCCAAGCCGGCGAAGATTTCGATTGATAATATGAATGGTCAAACGTGGACGCTCTCGCTCTCTCTCTCTCTCTCTCTCTCTATATATATATATATATATATATATATATATATATATATATATATATGTATTTCAGTAGAAATGCATTTTAGATATAATTTGAAATAAAGAAAATAATCAGGTTATAGAAATGTAATAAAACACTTAAAACCAGGAACCTACAAGAAGCTTAAATAACTAAAAAAGTAACAACTTTCGTTAGGATTTAAACAAACTTATGTGTGTGCCTTTATATATATATATATATATATATATATATATATATATATATATATATATATATATATGCGCAAACACACACACACATACACAAACACACACACACATAAATATATATATATATATATTAAAATATACATATTGCAGCATCTAATTTTAAAATTATATTTGTCATTTAATCAAGAATGCGTCGTGATTGTATATTTATTAATATATACTTAATAGCACTGTTATATTATGAACACAAATACACACACACACACGCACACACACACATATATAATATATATATATATATATACATATGTATGTATGTATATATATATATGTTGGATTTATTTCAGCAGTAATACATTTTAGATAAAAATCTGAAATAAAGAAAATGAACGGGATTATAGAAAAATAAAAAAAAAAGATTATTTAATTGATAATTAGGGACCAAGAAAAATGTTTATAACTAAAAAGTAACTTTCGTTAGGATTTAAAAAACTTACGTGTGTATATATATATATATATATATATATATATATATATATATATATATATATATATATTAATTAATATTCCGAGGGACTTTATCATTTCCTTTGTCCGTCAATTTCGAAACGCATCGACTAAGGTAAGTTTTCCTTTTCATATTTATTCTTATATATATATATATATATATATATATATATATATATATATATATATATATATATATATATATATATATATATATATATTGTTGTTGTATGTGCGTTTGTGTGTGTGTGTGAAGGATGTGCTTCGTTGTTCTGAACCCGGACCACGTTGCAAAATTTGATCGAATGATCAAACATCACAATTTTTGCGATGATGAAAACTTGCTACTTCGAAGTGCTATGGTTTAATTTTCGAATTCTTTA